ATATAAATATATCATATGTACGTATTGTTTGCGTATTCATATACACACAAACGCACACACACACACGCACACACACGCTCACATACACACGCACATGCTTTTCATTGTACATAGACGACCTATACATTAAATACCGAGCTGAAGTATTATTATCTAAAGTTTGAGAACAAAACGAGTTACTTCACGGATTTTATAGGTTCGGTTTGTACAATAAGTTATAAGTAAGAATTTTGATGAAAGATACGTTCAGTCTGAAAAAGTGGTATCAATTGAAAATGTACCAATCTGACCCCAGTGTGGATCTTTAGCCAGTGTCTCTACTTGGGAATTGCAAGTCCTTACGCTCATAAAATTTGCCAGAGTCATTTTTGGACGGTTTGGAGATTTTGGTTCTGAAATTAATGACCAGAGGCATCTTGGTAATATAGTTCACGAGGACAAAAGAATAATCCAAATATAAAACCAATAGAGTGTAACAAAACTCAAGCGTTTCACAGAAACAATTGTTTGGAAGAAAGTGGGATTTTTTTCTCTCACTTTCTCTAAATGACTAAAAATAACTTAGACATTTCGCTACCTTAGAATTACAATGTTCTAACGGATCAATATCTGGTTTTGAGAAATTTGACGTCAAAGACTTTGAGTTCACATCCTGTCAAGCGTTTTCTTATGAAATTCTTTCAATATCTTGATAACGACCCTGAATAATCTAACGATTTTGATAGAGCGGGTAGAACATGTTTGGTTTCGGACCTCAAGGTCTTAGTAACCCAAAACGGCGAAACACATCTGATAGAATTGTGTAGTTCTATGATTTGTCATATGAGTGTGACGAAGTAGAAAATCCTTAATTTATCAGCAGGTTTCCCACATATAAGTGAACATCAACAACTTTTGTCTACCAGCAGTTCACTCGGTGGCAGAGGTTCGAACCCCAGTCATCATGCCAACTATACCTGACGAAAAGGACATGAAGGAGCTGAAAAGTTTCGCTGCACCGCCCCAGGCAGTGAAAGATGTCTTCTCGGGACTTTTTGCACTCCTTGGCTTCAAAAGGGGGGACGCTGAGGTGGGTCTCTCTCTGTCTGTTTGTCTGTCTGTTTGTTTGTCTGTATGTTTTTAAATGTGTATCTCTGTGATACATAATGCATATCTATATTATCTATATCTAGCAATGACCAAGTTGAAAACCATCTGGAACGACAGAAATATCACCATCAGATCAAAGATCAGATTGATGGGTTCCCTGGTCCTGTCAGTGTTTTATATGCATGTAAAGTCTGGACCTTGAAAGCAGACCTTGAAAGAAGGATCAAAGCTGTGGAGATGAGATGCTTCCGAAAAATCCTTGGTATCTCATATAAAGATCACATCACAAATAATGAAGTGAAGTCAAACTACGGATCAACAATGAAATTGGATCATATTATGCTGACCATACTCTGGTCAGGAAACGCAAACTGCAATGGTATGGACACATCACCCATTCACCCGGCCTTGCCAGGGAAAAAGGAGCAGAGGCAGACCGAAGAAGAGTTGGAAGGATAACATCAAGGAATGGACAGGCCTGGAACTCAAAGACCCGCCCAGGAAAGCTGAAGACCGGAAGGAGTGGAGGAAGCTGGCGGCCAAATCTTCCAAAGTGCCCCGACGGACATCCAGTCTACGGGATAGGTGAAAGGTGATCTATCTATCTATCTATCTATCTATCTATCTATCTATCTATCGATCTATCTATCTATCGATCTATCTATCTATCGATCTATCTATCTATCTATCTATCTATCATAGTATGTATAATAATATGTATGCAATCAAACATAATTAAACGTATGTATATACAGTGGCGTCCAAAGGAACGTGAAATTGTATTCACCAAGTCATCGTGCTAAAACCTTGCACTGCCCACCTATGCTGCATACCAAATAAAATAAATTCTGCATCATCTGACACTCATATTTCATCCACAGTTTTTCCCCGAGACATGGCCACTTAACCTGAAAAAACTCACATTTTGTAAAGACGTGCGAATTCAATGAACCTTAAAATAACCCTCCCTCTCTCCCTTTTTTACTCTCCCTACCCATTGCTTTACCCCCACCCCCGTCTCT